GCTCGCTCATGTAATCTGGATTCCACCTACAAAAACCTTTGAGCTACTACTTAAAGTGGCAATATATAACGTGGCTTTCATTCTCATAACTAGGTTGCTCTGAACGAAACAAAAGCAGCAACTTTACATCACCTTACGTAAGACATGTGAACTGAATTTTCACTGAGGCTTTTTATAATAAAAGTCGCGTTTAAAATGTTAAAATGTTTAAGATTCCATCTTGTCTTCTGCCGACGATTCCACTCACCGCTACTCTTCAAGGTGAAATGACCACGTTGTAAACGTGTCTGTGAATTACTTCCCAAGCTCATCCCTATTAAACATGCAGCAAACTGTCCTGTGGCATCTTTACGCCTCTAGCCACAAAGCTACCGGAACGAGGAAATCAGTATTTCTTTGCGAAAGGAACATCCCGAGAAGTTAGGATCGCGGGCTCGTGAACGCGGTGTTTTATTTCCAGGGCAACAGGAGCAAAAATAGGTCCGCGTTGCATACTAAAATCGGCGAGAAGAAAGGGGGCTGATGTCGTTTGTTGTTGTTTTCGTTTTGTTTTGTTCTGCTTTGCTTTATTTGTTCACTATATTTTATTCGCAAAAATTGATGTATATCTGCTACAAAAGATAAAGCATAAACGGGCAAGAAATCTTAGACTGAGCTTTTCTAAGAATAACCCCATACGTCAAAGAACTAATTTAAATTTAGCAGATAGACATAGTTTTCGCATGAAACGCCAATCAAGGTTTTTTTTTCCCAGTTTAAGAACTGATTATAATCTAAGAATACATATGACTTCAAATGACGCATGCGAGGAAAGTAAAAAAGAAAGAGGTTTCTTCGCAAATATTCCTCCTACAATCTACTTGCATATTCTTGCCTCTTACACAGAATCTCTTTTCATACAAGCACAAGACGCAAATGAAAGGTAAGAAACTTTACTGACATGAAAGTAGCTTAATAATTTTATGCCGAAAATCTGCTCACGTTTTGAACAAGTCGGTGTCGGTTTTTGAATCCTCACATGAGTTTTTGCTGTTTTTTTTGTTTTTGTTTTTGTTTTGTTTTTTTCACTCATTTTTTTGTTTTTAAGTGGTTGAAAATAGCAGATTTAGAATGATTTTTACCACCAAAATCGGTGAAAGAAATAATAGCCAATGCCATTCTGAAAACTACAAACTGTCTCATTTGACTCAACAACCTAGACTCAAACGAAACATTAAATCGAAAAGGCTTGTAAGTCTTTTAAATGAACAAAAACGCAATTTAATGAAGAAAACACTGGGACAAAGCAAGCAACTATTTATTATCCATGACTGCGAATTTACTTTCTACGGGGCTACAATTCTATTTAATTCAGTCTGCGCATTGCTACAATACAAAAGTTCTTTGTATCATAACTTTAAGGGATTGAAAATCGGGTTTTTACCACTGAAAATCAGTATTCCATTCTCAGTGAATTTTTCCAGTTACTAGAAGGGCAAGAGTTATATACAAAACAACATGTGGTACAAAACTTATGATACAAAGCAACACTACAGCACCAGGTAAAGTAAGGTTGAGATGAGAACTTTTATTTGTAAATTCTCATAATCTTAATACATGCAAGGTAAGAAAAGTCTATTAACCACTTTATTGAATTCAATAAACATTAGACAATGCTTGTCACACTGCTCTCATTCATTCATTCTTCAATACATTCATTCATTCATTTATTCATTAATTCATTCCTGATTTGATGTGAAGTTTATATGAAATAATTCATATTATATTCATATCATATTATATTCATATAATTGACCTCGCTCCCAATGTGTGGCTTCATAGTTCACTGTCATTCCTGATTTATTAAAACACGATCTTTTTACAAACTAGAAAACAACACTTGCTAGAGCGGCTTTGCCGCTTAAAACGGTACTTTTTCTATATTGCACTCTCATATTTAGTTTTACGCGCACTCTGTTTAGTATAATAACGTTTCACTCTCAAATGGAAATCATCGCATTGTCACAATTCTCTTCGCAGTTCTGCAAAAGTAGCCTGATTCTCATATGGTCCAGGTCGCTCGCGGCCACACAAAGGCAGTCTGTCCACAGACGTTTTTTTTCCCAGGGCCACCCCTTTGAGTTTGGGCTTTTTAAAATTCTCAGCGTTTGATACGTTTGTTTGCAACCTGGTAGAACGTAAGACAAAATACAGGGTCTGTGGACAGACTGCGTCAAAAAGAGTTTGACCATAGTTAATAGAGGGGAATGGTTATGAAACCCGACAAAGTTCTTTGTTGTATGTTTTTGTTCACTTTTTTGTTCTTGACCGTGCACAAAACACAATAGTTGTTTACTCCGTACCGTAAAACTAACCGACAGAAACGTGTTGGTTATCATAGTAATTCATGCATAGTGTATGAACGCAAAACAAAAGATTATGCATGGTCGTGGACCTTTCAACATCAATCTTTGCATCTTTGTTTGCTCCTTTGATGTTTTCCGGGCTTCATAACCAGTCTCCTCTATTACAGTCTGTATTGTGGTTTGACCGAGTAATATACGACTGTGTCCTAGCGTCTGACTGATCATGCGAGAAAAACACTGTTACCGAAGTCAACAACAAATATTAAGCCATCCCATCATCTTTATACATCACATATAAAATTGTCCTGAAATGAGTGAAATCATCTTCTGCGTGTGTATTGTTTTTTTACCCTGAAAAACTTGAAATCTCAAAGGCTGCAACGAAAATTGTATTCCTTTCAGTTTCTTTTTTTCTTTCATTAAGGCCAAAAAATCGATAGCTTCAATTTCATACTCACTGCAAAGATTAGTTTAATTATTTCTCGCAGTCCCCATTCAATATATGCTTTTAAAACCTCATTTCGTCAGTAAATATTTTCAGACCCCAGATAAAACCGATTCTTCTTCGCATATTACTTTTTGTGTTCATTAAGAAATTGGTTGAACAACGTATCCAATAGTTTTGGAAATTTGTTGTAACTTTTCGTACAAACGTTAGCGATTTTTACAGAAAGATTATCTAAAAGGAATTATCAGCAGCTTTTATTAACGTACGTTATTCCCTTTAATTCTCCCTGAGACTCAGTCAATTTCTTGGAGCGTTCCCCAGTCCATGAAACGTACTCTTTGAGCCAAATGTATACTTTGAGCAGACTGAAACATAAGAACACAAAAACCAATGTTAATATTGTACTGACTCGCGCCACCCAACCGGAATGAACCGATCTTGCTGTTCATTAAAAGACTTACAAACCTTTTCGATTCAATGCAATATATCAAGCACGAGAGACAGTGTTCATCGAGACATCCAAACACCGAGAAGAAAGTTGAAAATACGACGAGCAGCGGAGTATTTTTGACGAAATACGAGGTGGTTGGGTAGCTGATGAAACAATGTCTCGAGTGTTTGGTATGTCTTCTCAATCGAAACAAAACTCAACGAGTAAACGGAAAAGTGAAATGGTCAAAGTCTATGTTAATTAAGACCGGGTATCCAAAACTCCTTCAGATTTTCTTTTTTTTAACTTGAGGAATTGTTCATGAGTTTGAGAACCACAGCTTTGAGTCTGTGTACACTTCCATCTTTACTAAACCACAGAAGATAGCTTTGTCGGCTAAGATGTTCCCTTTACGAATCTTGACTCGTCAAATGTTTAACTAAAGAAAAAAACTGAAAAGTTCATGAAGTCGGACAATCCGTGAAACTGTGAAAGGGATTTGAGAAACAAGGAAAGAAACACTTTAAGAACTCATTTTCAATCCGGAAAAGGTACGAAATTCATTAAAGGAATTCTTTACGGTCATTCCACTAAGGTTATGTTATACAAACGTCAACGAAATTCCAACCTCTTTTGGATATAAGAACACAATAGAATATGATCATAATCTCTTGAAGAACATTATTTATAAACTTAAAAAAATTATGGTGTTGCGCAGCACCTGTGCGAATTGAAGACTGAAAGAGCAACCTCTTTTCCAAGCTCTCTCTCCTTTGCCTCCCTTCTTCACTTCGCACAGGCGCCAAAGCCCCTGTTGGTTTTATGTGTAAATAGTGTTGGTATATCCAAAAGAAGTTTGAATTTCGTGACGTTTTTTAAAGGAGAGGGTCTGGGAACGAGGCTGCTGAAAGAGTTCAAATCATAGATATCTAAGAGCCAAAAATAGTTCATTCTTCCTAAAGTACCATTCAGACATTTCGAGATTAGCCTTCACTTAGCGGAAATGATGAGGTGACATTGCTACTTAAAACCGAAATGTTTTCGTCTAAGGGACCTTTTCGAGATAAGAAAACAGGTGGTTCGTTTAAGCAACGCCATATTCTTACATGCAATTCGTTTGACCATTGGATCTCTTTCCAGCCAAAACTTAAAACCTTCTTTAGCGCGTTGATTGTAAACGGATGGACGTCTTTGAACTTGTGGCCGCTGTAGCTTGGTTGTGGGCGCAGCAACTCTGGTTGAGGAGTCTTTGTCCATTGCTTTGCCTTGGTAATACATGGTGTAGGTTTCTGAGGAACGTGTCCACATGTATCAAGAAAATGTCAGTATTTAACAAAGCCACCTTTTACAATTAGAATTTTACAAGTAGTCTATAACGTGTTTGCGTTTGCTCATTTTTAGCCGACAAATTTTCATGAGAAGTCAAGGACTACTGCAACGTTTGATCAAGCAGGATCTTCGTTCACGGCTTTGCAATTTATTTAGTAAATTTTTATGGTCTTGTAAATAGAATACAGATTGGCAGGGTGTTGAATTCTATAGCTGGTCACTTGACAAAGCTATTTTCTCAAAAGGAAGTTTAGTGTTAAATTTGATCCAGAGGGAGTTTCGGCGACATAAGTATCTTGTAGGGAACTGCAAAGAACGAGTACAACTTTTGACAAAGCTCTCAGAATCCTCACTCCTATCTTTGCTGAACGGCTGAATATAGGTATGAGACTGGCATTAAAGTAATAATCACTAGCATAAGCGCTAGGTTGTAGTCAGTTTCATACCCGTATTCTTATCATGATGTAAAGTTCTCAAAGGGATGTTGAATACCTTTTTCGTGAATCCCTTATAAAAAATATCAAAATTCAGTACGAAAGACAAAAGTCATTTAAACCGGCAACTTTTCAAAGTAAAGCTTGCATTTTCATGTGTAAGCAGATGAAGATGTTAAAGAAAGTGGGATACTAGTCTTTCCTCGTATTTTCATGTATATCTTTCATCAGTATCTGTCTTGTGTTAAACCTTTGTCACTCACTTTTCAACAGGTCCTCTCTATGCCTGCTTTGATCGTAGTAATATCTCTGAAACGCACTTGACTGCAGGTCCGGTACATTCTGGGAACGTCCATTCATGGATTCGTTTGGTGGGAAACCGTACGACATGCGATTAACAAAATCAACATGCTGAAAGATGAAGGCAAAGGTTGGGTTGATGAAATTTGATACCGTTCACTCTACACAATTTACACGAGAGATTTTAAATTACTACTCTTCCACGCTATAGCAGTGGGTCAGCCGTCTACACGTCTCACAACATTTTCGTTACAGTAATGACTGTCTGACAGAGGAGAGCTAGGAACTAAGAAGAAGAATGACTGTCGACTGAAATAGAACTCGGCAAATTTCATTCACGATTTGCGTGTCTGAGGCCCCGTCCACCGACACTACGATGGAGAAATTTGAAAACGGCGGTGTTTTCACCCTGAAAACGCATCAAATGTTTTCCGTCCACACTACGCCGGAGGGATTTTATCACACAACAATTACCTGCCATTTTGGATTTGTGTTTGAAGTAGTCTCGAGCAGGGGAATCACATGATTATCGTAACGTAATCATTTTCAAAAAGCTCCGTTTTCAAAATGTTTTCCGTCCACACTAAAACGCAAAGCCGGCGTTTTCAAATTCCTCCGGTTTGAGGAGCGTTTTGGAATAGCTCCGTTTTCGTGACTAATTAGTGTGGACGGTAGCCTACCCGTTAGAAATAAAGCTGCGTTTTCAAATTTTACCGGCGTATTACGGACGGGGCCTCAAATAAAAATTCTCAGTAGGTTAACACCAGCACATTTAAGCGATCGTCTATGAACCTTTTTCTTCAGATTTGGTCAGGAAAATTATGGATTGAGTTAATACTTATAGTTAATCACTATTAGAAATTCCAAAGTGACTTTACGATAAGCCTAGATTATTTTCGTCTCGTATTTTGCTCGTTGTTGAAATACTTTAACGCGTAAAATAGCAAACTATTTCTCGGCCTTCCATGTCCTATAACACAGTTGCTATAGCTCAGCCGATCAGTTGCAATATTTTAGTTTTAGATGCTGTTGCACTCTCATTCAAAAAACCAGCGTAACGAACATTTTTATCCAACATTTTGTTGATGCGTTGAGCCGGCCATGTGTTTAGTACATACGCCAGTACGGCATATCCGGAAATATTTGTTTCCCTCGTGTTTCTCAGTTTAACATGATAAACTTGAGGAACACATTACGGCTGCTTTTTAGACTACAGTAGTTCTAACTTGGGTTTTTGTACGGGAAAGAGATTACTGGATTCCTAAAACTGAAGAGGACCCAGTATTACCTTGGTCAACCAACAAATTCTCAAAAATTAAACTGAAAATTAAAATTAATAACCCTTAAGAAGAATGCATATTGCGCTAATCTTGGAACTAAAAAGTCAGTCACTTCACTCTCAACCAGTCATGAAAGTTTACCTTTCCCTTAAGCTTGGCCCAGTGATCTGTGTCTAGTTGGCCTGCTAGTTTCAGAGAAGGAACATCTCTCTTCGCCCAGTGAGATAAATCCTTCCTGAAGAACAAAAATTAAAAATGCTTTTAGGATAGTTTCTGTCAGTGAGCACAGATAGTCCGGAAAGGAAGTGAAAGCAGTATGTCTGTGAATCGATGCGGCACGGTTACCGCGCGTGGGAACCGCGTATGGACCACTTTGGCCTGAAATGTGGACCATATTCAGCGGTCTAGTTAGAAGACACGAAAGAAAGAAAAAATATAATCTAGCCGATGAATAACACTACAGCATCGTTTCAGAAATTTTAAGGCCGACGTCCGATAATTTTGCATCCACGATCAGTTATTTCATCAGTGAATACCCAAGAGAAAAAACAATAACTTAAAAGAATTAATACTGGTTGATGTATGCCGCACTTATTTAGCGTATTGCCGGTATAATTGCTCGCTGGAAAAACAAATTTAGAGCATTGCTGTTTCTTTCCTATGCCGTTACCAAACAATGACAATATTAATTTGTTAAAATTCGAAAAAAATGAACGCTTAAATGCCTTGATAAGCGAAGACGTTCAGGTTTCTTTAGTGAAACACTGGACTTATCTTGTTTGCAAGAATAGCCTTAGCATTATGCAAAAACAAGTTAAAATGTCTTAAACGTCAACTTTTTTTTCGTTCCCGTTTCCCGACGATACGTCAGAACATTGTACCTGTGCTCCCAAACTTTAGGAAATTCTTTCGCCACCGGCGCTTGGGAAATCGCTGGAAGATGCAATGCTGTGGCCATTTTAACGAGCCACCCTCAAGTCGCAAACACTTAGTATCTAAGAGACCTGTGTTAGATTCTCATTCATATTTAATTAATTCTGTCTCAAAACAGCTGTCCTCTAGGGAGAGGGTCTTTTTTCTGTCGACACAATAGGCTGGATATTCAACCAGACACTCTGTAAACAACGACTATTATGTGAAAACAGCACTCCATAGTTTTTGCCTGAATAGCATGTACTGCAATTGTTTGCTTAGGTCTTTGTACATTCTGACGAGGAATAATGCTGTTATGGAGCTATAATCTCGCTATTTACCTTTCTCGAATCAGTAAACCTTGAACCGGGCTGATAATGAATTCAGTTTTCGTTTCAAGAACTTAAGCGCCGTAATTTACTGCAAGTTTGTAAGCGAACGGATATTTTTGTCTGCTAAAAACATTTATGGTCTTTTGTTGAGCTCTCAAGAGACGTTTTTATAGCTTATAATATTCCGTTGGTTGTTTGCCGACAGACCGATTTAACTTCCTCAGTTGTTTTCAGTAGATGAGCCTTATCTCTAAGCTTTGGCGTACATTGATATTTAAGCCAAATAATTTAAAGGATATGCTATCAAAGCAACAACTAAAGATGGCTGGAAACTAACAAGAAGCTTAACATTTGGACTATAATGTTATTGTTGTGTTCACTGATGTTATTTTTTGCGTAATCCTTGCTGGAAGAAGGAAGACCTCTCATGCAAAATAAAACCGGCCTTTTCTGATATTTCGGTTTGAAATTTTGGACTACCTGTCAAGACGTTCAGTTTGTCTCGTAAATTTCCCGGTCAGTCGAGCTAAACTTGTCCGGTCTTAACACTTACATTTTGACCTAAATTTCCCAGCGGAATTTTTAGTTAAATGGTAAACAACCTCTAACTTTCGTTTACGTTTGCTTCGTGTTTTATCATGATTGGTCAGTCGTGAAAATTATTCAATCAGAGTAAAGATTTTGCAATTGTCTCTTTGACCAATCAGCTTCAAGACACATTCAGAACTGACATGATTTTCCAGCCTGACTTGCCAACTTGTTATCAATCAATTACAAATCCCACTGTAGATATCAGCACACCAAGAGAGCTGTGTTCAATTACAAAATGCATTCTAACCATTTCCCCTGCATGGCAATGTACTTTACTGTTCAGATTCGAGGGTTCTACTTGTTTTAAGAAGTGTACAGTAAGTAAGCAAAAGTGAACGAGTGAGAAAAGAAAGAATGAAAAACCTATTTTGTTCAAAAATGCGCAAAACTAGTTTAACATACTCACTTTGTTTATGAACACAAAATATTGCATAAATATAAGAAGAAGACAATGATATTTAAAAGCACCACGCATTCTCTGCAACCCTTAATGTGCAACCACCTTTTATGATGAGCAATGGGGCTCCTCGGGTTGTCGGTTTCGTTTGTTTGAAGTTTAATATGATTCGTCTTATTTTCTGTTCGTATCTTTTTCCGACAAATTATATGTCTGACACACATCTTTTAGTCGATTTTCTGAGTTGTGTCAGTTTTGTCAATCTCTGGCTCTTTGGTCAGCGGTTGGGTAGTTCAAGATGGGAATTCAGAGGCTTGCGGGGTACCTGCTGGCGTCAGTAGGGAGCAGGAGGAGAGAGGGCATGTGCAGGCTGCGGGCTTACGGTGGTGCCGAAACAAGCAAGTAACTTAGTTACATAAATCACAGCATGTATTCTTTAAGGTCCTGTTGTGCTCTCCTGCCCATGTGTGGCGATTATATTAATTTAATCCCCACTACCTGCGTGTTTTCAGTGAGCGGTGACCGACTAACGATACTCTAGAAAAGAACAAAACCCAGAGCCGAGAAAATCCTTTTACCGGTTTGATCGTGCGCGTGAATTCAATTCAATAATGGTTTTGGAACATGAGTGGACAGAGTTTCCGCCGTGACAAATGCTTGTTCATTTCCAGTCATTTCCCCCAGAGGTCTCGATTCTTGGTGCTAAACAATTTTTAAAGTTGATTACGGTAAGGAAAACAATTCTCCATCGATCGTGTGGGAAATGTGAAAGTCATAGCAACTATTTAAGAATTTCTTTTTTGTCATTTGCGTAGGGTTTCATAGCATACTGAGATCGTTTTTACCTCCGTAGTACACCAACATGGCGGCCGGAAAATAGTGAAACCATCTGAAAATTACTTTGGTTATCTACAATGGTGGACAAAATTCCTTGGGACATTTGCGTCATTGCATGAATTATCTGTGTTTTTTAAACGGAGTTTGAAAAAGCACTGTTATCCTTTTCAAAATTCGTTTCAGCCCCTCCCCCCCGCCCCGCCCCATACAATGTTGAAACTCTTGAGAAATGTCCA